AGCAGGCTTTTTGTCTCTATTCCCATTCTACTTTTGAGTTGCCATGTCTGAATGGTGATGTGTCCCTTGCCCAGCCCTTCCAAATAGAATTTCTGTAAAAATTAGGGTGTTGGATGAAGACTGGAGGAACCCAGATTCAAACCTTAGCCATCAAAATTTACTGGGTGACTATGGACCAATGACTTTCTCTCAGTCCAACTTACCACTTCACAGGGCTGTTGTTTTAGAGAGAATATAGAGGAGAAAGTAGTATCTATGCTGCCCTGAGAGATGGGATATACCACAACAAATACCAATACAGGTAATCCTCGACTTACAACAGTTCAACAGCACTGAAAAAAGTGAATTATGACTATTTTTCTTACTTACAACCATTGCAGCATCCCCTTAGTCATGTGAGCCAAATTCGGATGCTTTGCAACTGGTTCATATTTAATGACGGTTGCTGTGTCCCAGGGTCATGTGATCAGCTTTTGCGAGCTTCTGACAATGGGGAAGCCAAATTCACTTAACAACCGTGTTACTAACTTAACAACTGCAGTGATTCACTTAACAATTGTGGCAAGAAAGGTTGTAAAATGGGACAAAACTCACTTAACAAATGTTTCACTTAGCAACATAAATTTTGGGCTAAATACTTATAGGTCAAGGACTACCTGTATATGAGACTGTGCAGCTTTATCAGTAATCTTACAAACCTTGTAACATCGGTCCTTTAAAAAAAATGTGCCACCTTTTGTTTTGAAAAAAACAAGTATACTTCTCCCCCTTCCATCTTTTCTTCTTTTAACAGGATACTATCTTGATAAATTGTACAAGATGAGGACTTGATGCCAGGATGCATTTTTACGTGAATCAATGCAGACCAAGCACAATGGGATGTACGTTTAGGTAGAAACACAGGATTATTTTATAAGATAAATTCTTTAACTATCTTTCTAGTAATAAATCTCAAGGGGTTAAAGTAAGCAAAATATATTCAAAGGGGCATGAGAAATATGAGTATACATGCACACTGAAGAGCCTGAAAAAATATAAAACATTTTTTTCAAAAAGGAGGAAAATTCAGCCGAGCAATGGAAAGTAAAGAACTAGGGGAAAGTAAAAACTGGGTTCACATATTCTCTTAATTATATATATATAATTTGTGTTAACTTTTACATAGATAAAGGCAAATATTAAAATGCATAAAGAAAAATATAAACAATATAATAAGAAAAAGAGGGAAAAGGAAATGTGCAGAAATCAATACAGTAAAAGAAAGAGATAATTAAAAAAACAAAACCAGAAAAAATATATGGCTTCCATCCTTTTCAGAAGTTACTGTACAAACCTACTTATTATCCTTCTTCCCACTTTCATATTATAAAAATTGCTTCAGCGCTTTAATCCTTTTTCAGTCATTTAATCTACAAATCATCATTCACTCTTTTCCATTTTCAGTCCATAAAAGTTTCCTGGCCTTTATGAAAGTACTTATTGCTTTGTCTTTGACTAGTCATGTCAGTTTTACCATTTCTGCCATCTTCACCAACCATTCCTCCATTGTGGATATTTCAGTATTTCTCCATCATTGTGCATATAATAATAACTTTCCTGCAATTATCATACTGTCCTAAGTCTCAAATAAAGAAACTGCATCTTGTTCTTTAATGTTAGGTGTGAACTCAGCCAAGATTTCCCCCCAAATCACAAGGCTGGCATTGTAACAATCTAGCTTCTTGACAGCACCAGAAAAGGTCACAACAGTAAATTAAAGGAGAAGCCTGAAGTTTCTTAATTGCTGCTGTAAAATCAGTCTGTGTTTTGATCTCCCTCTTTCATACTTTGCGTCACTGATGAATACAGATAGTCGTGGATTTATGACCACAATTGTGTCCAACATTTCCGTTGCTAAGAAGGGAGTTGTTAAATGAGCTGTGGCCCATTTTACAACCTTTCTCACCACAGTTATTAATCACTGCAATTGCCAAAGTGAATCATATGTTGTGAAGTGAATCTGGCTTCCCCCATTAACTTTGCTTGTCAGAATCCAACTTGGAAGGTCACAAATGGTGATCACAGGACCCCAGGCCTGGCCACTGTCCTAAACAATGTCAGTTGCCAAGCACTCAAATTTTGATCACGTGACCATGGGGATGCTGCAATGATCGAAGCTTGAGAACTGGTTAGGAGTTACTTTTTTCAGTGTTGTTGTAACATTCACTAAATGATCACTAAACAAATGTTTGTAATGAAAAATGAGCAACCTTAGCCTACATTGCAGAGGTGTTGTAAATAAAACAGGAGGGAGAAATGTTCAAGTTTGCTGGAGAACGGTGGAATATAAATTTGGTATTTTCGGCACAATTTACCACAAGGTGTACATGCAGCCTAATTTAATGGAGTATTCATTCATTTACTCAGACATGTGTTTCAGTTGCTTTTATTTGAATGGAAATATATATTTATAAGGTCTGTTCCCAGATGCTCAATCTTTTCTTGGAGGACTAATATTTGGGGGACTGCACTGGATGGAACAGCCCCTTTCTCACTTTCTCTTCTTACTCAGTGTTAATAGAGTAGAGTAGAGTAGAGTAGAGTAGAGTAGAGTAGAGTAGAGTAGAGTAGAGTAGAGTAGAGTAGAGTAGAATCTGGAGGGGACCTTGGAGATCTCCTAGTCCAGCTCCCTGCTCAAGCAGGAGAACCTATACCATCTCAAACAGGTGAATGTCTAGTCTCTTCTTAAAAATCTCCAGTGATGGAGCACCCACGATTTCTGGGGGTAAGCTGTTCCACTGGTTGATTGTCCTCACTATCAGGAAGTTCCTCCTTAAAAAGAAACCCTTATAGACTGTACAATGTCCAAATATTGTACTATAGTTTGATTTTTGTGCATTGTAGAACTCAGATGAGTAAATACAGCAATACAGTGAAATCATGGATTGCTGCAGTATGTGAAGCCAGCCATTATTCTTATTCTCTCTACCAGAGTGCAGTGATTGCATTTGGCCATCACTTCACATCCTCCACAAATATTCTCAAAGCCCCTCTAAGAGTTAACGCCAATTGCCAAAGTGTTAGACTATAGTATTTCTCA